ACACACACACACACACACACACACACACACACACACACACACACACACACACACACACACACACACACACACACACACACACACACACACACCTCTTTAAACATCTGCTTGGTAGCTAATGAAGATTTAGCACATGTTGTGTTGATAGCCATGCTCTTGTGTAATTACAACTCTTAATATGCTGAACAATACTAGTTTTTGGTTAGACATGACCAACCTGCTGTTTCTACCATGAGGTGCATTGGGAACGGTTGCTGGATATCCGAATTTTTAAGACAAATGTTTAACCATTCACACATTTTGCGCTTCATATCCAAACACTTGGGATAATTACATTGTACTGTAAACTAAGTATGTTTGTGTTTGTGCAGCAGTTTAAAAGTTTTGTCTAAGATACTCGTTAACATGCAAATACAATAAAATCTGCACCATCCAACATCACAGAGGAGCCCTAAAATATACTGTATGCCCACTGTTTCCGACTTAATTTCCCCTTTAATGGTGAAAGAAACATGGTGTTGCAGAGGCATAGTTAATGAAGAGCAAATGCAGCCCCTAGCGAAGGCCTTCAGCCCACATTCATCATGGATTCAATTTCCCCCATGCACGTACAGAGAGTATCTGGAATCATTACAACACAACTAGCAGGCATCCCCTGCTCATAAATAAGCCTGTTAATTGACCTGTCATAGCTAATTGCTGCAGGGGATAGGAGACTAGTTTGTGTGTATGTGGGTGTGTGTGTCTGTGTGTGTTTAAAAAAAGAGTTGTCTGTATGTGTGCATTTTTGTGGATGTAACTCAGTGTTTGTGTATGTAAATGTGTTTGTGTGTAAAATCTTATACACAGATATATGGACAGAAGAGGTGTGTGTTTCGGGGTGATTGTATGAACAGTGGAGGACTCTCTTTGCTGGGTTTGTTGATTTTAGAGCCATTAGTAATCAGCCTTGAGACAGGGACTATGTGAGGCAAACCAGCGCAAGTATCGACCCAAATGGTCAGCCTGTCCCACCACAGGGCAAGAGAGAAAGATACGCAGAGATAAAGAGACCAAAACAGAAAACAGAAAACAGAGAGATATTGAGAAACACACACCGGAGGATAGAGGCACGCAAAACCAAACCCATCATCATTTTTTGCCCACACTTTTTTCCCCCTCTCTGATGGGTTGTAAACTTGCTGAGGCACACACATATAAACACACAATTACAAAGAGACATGGTGAGTTTGAAAAAAAAAAGGTGGGAAATGAGTGAGAGGAAGCATAGTTTACAGTCAGAAAGAAAGACTGAGTCATAAAGTTTACTCGGCCACATCCCAACAGGAGAGAGCTTACTGCAAGTGCAGCTGCCATAGAGCCAGAGGGACTTCAATGATGTGTCAACAGACAGTGCTCAAACACAGGCGCTGGCTCTGTTATGGCTCCCAGTCCATTTTCTCCCACAATTGACTGAAACTGAATAGTGGACTTAAACTTCTGATAAACTTGCATGTAAATATTATAGTTCAGGAAGGTTTTATCCCACGAATTTGATAAGAATTTAGACAGGAGACCTGGTTCACATTGGTTTGTAATTACTTAAAAACCGTAAGTAAATATTCTTGTATCAGCAAATTAAACATGACAGTCTAGGAATGGGCGCAGATGTAAACTCTTTGTATTGTAATATACATTTTCTTGCAGTACATTGGTTCCCATGATGCACCTGTGCATTCAAACTGAAATCATAGACAAATGCAAAGAATGTCAAATCTGAAAATGGACTCTTGTAAAATTACCTACACTCCCCACAAATACTATATGCACTGATCCAACTGTCTCTATGCTAATAGGGATTTTGATAGTGACTCAGGGTGTTGGTCGATTCAGAGTACCGATCTGATACCTTTGCTCTCTTTTCCTCTTCACTTTAAAACTCAATATCTCTCAAAGTGGAAACGACAGGGATAATTGCTGAATTTGTCAGTTGATGCTGTAATTACACGTCTAGTCTTGTAATGCAATCAAACACCCTGTTTGAGCTTGGAAACTTTCACATCTCTAAGAAAATGGTAAACATAACAATGTTAGGGCTTTTGAAATTGTGTTGTTTCAATTTCTAATGACTTGGAGTAAAAAAGTACATTTAATTTGGCTTACCTGATTTATTTACACATTTGTATTTGTCATATTCTTTTTTGATGTGTATCTACAGATGCCAATGGGTCTAATCGGTGTGAAACCTTGTTCTCCACCCTGAGATCAGCACATTATTGTAGAAGCGAATAATCCTCTGGTTATATGGATAGGCTTGGTGCTGAGTGTTCAGTCAAAGGCCCTCATTTATCAATACCTCCCTCAGTACTAAAATGTCAAAATGTTGTATCAACATTTATTTAATAAAAGAAAAAAGCACCCAAGACTCTCATTTAAAAGACTGGGTTTGATTTATATTCTTCATATTTTACATTGACTTCATTGGTTATACTATTGTCATACATTTGTGTGGCTTGATATATAAGAATGTGATACTATTGATTCCAGTGGGCAAACTCTCTCATTGCTGGGCAGCTGCCTGCCAACAGGGAGCTTGAGTTCTTGATCTAACATTGCCACCACTCCGATGTGAACAACTTAACCTCTTAAGCCCTGAGCCTGTTTTTCAGGTCGCAGGCTCGAAAATGACATTCCCAGAACAAATGACCATATCTTCCCTTCTAAAAGGGTTAAATTAATAATCTTTTTTCTCAAAGTAATGATAAACCTGTGAGTTGGATGTAGAAAAGTCAGAATCAATATAGATGTTTTTTATTTTAAAGAAAATTCAGATTGAACATAGTAAAAAACTGTAAATTATAGTGTCCGTCCAAAAATTCTTTTTTACTTATAGTGAAAACTACCCTTGGATGATGGGTTAGTAGACTAAAAGCTTTAGGAATCCAAAGTACAACATATAATAAGTACCCTGTATCAAGATTGATGCAAAACAAGTGAAATTTGACCTTTTTAGAGAGATTTAGCCAAAAAAACCCACTTCTGGGGTCATTTGGGTGGATTTGATCTATCTCTGGCCCCCCTTACTCGATTTTGATGAATGAAATCTCTTTATAACCGCTCGAGCCAATGGAATCGAGGGAAAGTTATATACACACCAAAACGTTAACAAATAAGTGAGAGTGACGCGTTACCAAAACCGGAAGCTGCATACACTCTGGTGGCTACCATTAGCAGCTAACTTTTCCGCTCCGATTTTTACATGAAAAATGGAATTATGGATTATAAATAATTTTTTCAAAGCCACAGGTACATTATCAACCTATGGATCAACAGTTGTAGATTTTTTTTTTTTCGTTTTAATGCCATTGAACACGTCTTTTGACCTAATTGACAGCTACGGTGAGACGATCTGCCGTAAAAGCTCCGTAAAGGTACGTGTTGTGATGTCTGTGTTTGCTTCCCCTGTCGCAAGTTCGGATCGCTCAGTGATGATACTATACCTAAATAATCAGTGGAGTCTCAGCTTTAATCGGCTATATTGTATGTGCAGCTACAATAAGTAATAAGGGTATCTTTATCTTGAATTGTGTGCCGCAGTGCGTTAGAATTTTTTCGCTCAGGGGTCATTTAGACCCTTCTTATGAGACTTGTGTTTTGTTTTGGTAAAAATGGTTCATGTCTTCAGTTAGCTGAGATTCTTCCCGTTAATCTGGTGCTACACATTAATAGTTTCATACATGTTAAGAAGCCCTGAGACATTATCTCGAAAACAAAACGGTGGGAGGGGTCCAATGGGGAAACCGCCGTGCTTAAGAGGTTAAATGTATTACTTTATGCCTCAACCAAAAAAAAAAAGAAAAGAAAAAAATGATATTTTATATATCTGGTAACTCTGACATTACTGTATAGTCAATAGCTCAGGGGTCTTAAAATAAAGTCTGAATTTGATGACTTTCCCTGGTTCTTTGGAACTTTAAATGTCATGTGGAGAGACAGTTTCTTCTAAAACATGTATAAAAATTCAAGGAAAGTTTTAAATTCTTTTACAATTCCCTTGCTTCTCAAAAGCCACCCGATATATCTGGGCTGCAGTGGAGGCCTTGGGGAAAGACATAAAGGAAATGTTTCAGATGTGAGAGAGGATTACAGGGAACAAAAAAGTGTGTTATTCAATTTTTCTTTCTTATTTTACTTAGAGCAAGTCTTAGCAGACCTGACAATGCTGTCTCCACGTGGTAGAAATGTACTCTCAAGAGGCGAGAGCTGGATTATTCTAATTCAGCGGGTGAGGTCTTTCAACATCTAGCAAGCAGTATTCAACTCTCAACAGTTGACCAGGTCATCCCTTTAAGCACATCTCAGCAGCTTAGTGTGGGTGCAAGTGTGGAGAGAGCGTTACAGCTGTAAGAAACACAACCTCTTATAGTAGGTAACCGTCCCTATGCTGTTCTACGCTATTTTTTTAATGACAGACTTATTCCTTAATGTTATGAAATTATCACTCGTCACCGGCTTGAGCTTCAATATCAGGATACATGTATTTATTATCCTCGCAAGAATGGAAGTAGTCATCACACACAGAGCTGCATGGGACAAATAGTTCCCAGAACAGTGTCCTTCACATGCTTATATACAAGAGAGGGTGTTATTCAGTCAGATGCAGAATACGGGTTCAAAGCAGTATTCTGTGCTTAGTTCAGATTAGCTAAGGCCCACGTAAGCAATACACATGACAGTCATATGTCTCTCTCCATAGAGGCTGAATCATCATGTTAATCGTTGTCACATAGCTATCATATGCCTAAAACAGTATGTCCTGACGCTCTTAATCATACATCCGGTTACATACACAGATACAGTACGTAGGGCCTTTGTTATCATGTGCTACTCTGATATTGGAAGAGCACATTCAGTATTTCCCCAACCCTTAGCATTATACTGCTCCATTATACTGCCAAGTACAATACATGTCTTTACTGCCATATTGTTGTTGGGAAGAAAAGCAATCGGCAAGCTTTTACCTGAAAGGGTCCACTGGGGCTGATGTCAAAGAACGCTCTCCTCCAGTCCGGGCCCTGGTGACCAGACTTCGACCAGACCACCGAGTCCACAGAGGCAATGCTTCTCACTCTCAGAAGCACATTGAGGGAGCCTGTGAAAGATAACCACACATGCATTCATAGGCACACACAGCCACACACACAGAGTACAGATCATTAGAAACTGTAGTGAACTGTCAATGAGCTAATAATTCTGAGCTACTGTATGTTAAGCTGCTTCACGTTTTAAGATTATTGAAATCTAAACGACAAAACATTTGCATATATTGACCCACATTTAATGACTTATTTCGACGGACTTCAACATATCTTATCTTGAAATTCAGAAAGAAGCATATGTTGAATGACATAATAAATAGTGGACACATTAATGAAATACATGTATGTTGATGAGCCATGTCTAATCAGTTCAGATGCTTCAATCCCAATTATATATACCTATTATATACACCTATTTATCAGCTTTATTCAGATAAGTATGCATCTCATGATAGATTACGTACGTAATGTTACGCTCACGAGAGAAACAGGAGGTAATTGATTGTGCTTTCATCTCAGTGAAACTACACCATGTCTTACAGCCCTGCCACAATTTACTGTACAAGCGGCTAGCTCTTTTCTGTCTCTGTCATTCGCATAAATCTACCCAACCCAAATAGCCCAAGCTGATGTCAAATTGTCAACATTAAATGTCAGATAGAGAATTAAGGATTTTATTCAGAAAATCCAGGGGACAAAGCTCCAAGCAGCACATACTCTGCTAGAATTGCATTTGAGCACTACATATTTCAAATTGCATTTACTTTTATGGTCAGAATCAAGGCTGTGCCGTGGACGTGATGTAATTTATTATAGCAAACGGTAACAAGTGCACTGCATGTGGTAGAGCGAGGCTTTAAGGTCAGATACTATATGTGGATGACATTTAGGTGGAAATGAAATGTGGATGAGTACTGACATGTCTCGAACTCTCCATTGACAGTCCAGTGGATAGTTTTATTTGTACAATAGAGCAAAAGGACAGCCGCCAGTAGGAAGGAAGAGAGGAAGTCAGAGAGAGAAAATTATGAAAAGGAGATGTTGCTAATTTTGTTTAATCTTTTGTTAGTTTATATTAGACACATCACTGCCACAGGATGTTTGGTAAATCCTTAATTGATTTTTTTACTGTCGACACATGATATAAAAATCAATTGTCTTGAGTCCTGGAAACAATTTAGAGAGAGTGGCACCATTCGAGGCATAAGGACGTGATCCAATAGTCTCCCTCTCTCTTTTTCTTTCTCTCTTGGGTCTGTAAGGTGTGAGAGAGCAATTCATCTTCTTAACGATCCTCAGCCAGCTCCTAATTGGAACATTAACCAACCACCAGTCTCTTAAACAAACACGCAGGCAGGGGGAACCATATTGGTGTATTATATAGTGTGTGTTATCTAATGTATATGTGTGTGTGTGTGTGTGTGTGTGTGCACATGAAGATGAGTATGTTTATGTGGCTGTATGCTTGCGTGTGAACACAAATGTTTGTAATTAATTTGTGTGTATGGATATCTTTCAGCTAATGATCTTCAAACCTTCTTATAGGCTGGTGGTAATTAGCTTCCTACTCTGTCACAACAGATGCGTGACTAAGGGAAGTGGGCTGTTTATTGGTTAAACAGGGAGTTTAAATAACATGTTGGGGGTATCTGTGTGCGTGGTATAGAGAGACTATCAGTCAAAAGTGTTAAAAACACCCATTTCAATTCACTTTTGATCAAATTTAAATCTGCAAATAATTTTTTTTGACTTTTCCAGTTTCCAAACAGTACTGTATGCACCTTGGTAAGATGAAACATGACTGAAATGTATTAATAAAAATATGTGTTTTGATATATATCCGTCCTATTTGTCAAACTCAATGGATTTCAGCCTACTCATGGTCTTTCTATATGTCATTGTAGGAAATACACTCATCCAATTAATTTCTTTAGGATAACAAGATCAATTTCCCATGTCTGTATGTTCAATATGAACCTGAAGCTAGACAAACAAGATGTTATTACAACTACTTTTATAGATTATAGAAAATAATGGCTTTATTGTCATTGCCCCCATTATGTAATGACGAATGCTGTGAGGCTTTTGAAACAGTTAATGTAACATATGACACATGAACGAACGCAAGCTCACCTTCCATAGTAATTAAAAAGACAAATTAAAAAGTAACAGTTACATTGGCACATCAAGAAATATAATCGGTATATCAAAAAACGTAGAACTCAGTGGCATTTCAAGTTTTGCATATTTAGTTATAGCGATTGTGGAGTTCAGTTCAGTGATGGCTGTGGGGTAAAAAGCTGTTTTGGAGCCTGTAAGAGTGGGTCCTTGTTGCCCTGTAGCGTCTTGCAGATGGCAGCAGAGAGAAGAGATGGTGGTGGGGTGACTTGCATCCCTCACAATGCTGCTGGCTCTGTGGAGGCAGCGTGATCTGAATAAGTCTTCCAGTGAGGGCAGGGGAAGTCAGATTTGACCATGCTATGTTAAAGTCTCCCGAGAGCTCTTTTGTCTACCACTGAACAGTTGGTATACCATACTGTAATAAAGTAGATCATTACACTTTAAATAAAATGAAGATGGACTTTCTTTTTCCAGACTGTTTCTATTTGTTTCTGGTCTTTATCCCAAGTTAAGTAAATATCTTATTTAACAGACATAGGCTACAGTGTATCATGGTGGTATTGATCTTCTGATCAAAGTTAACAAAAAAAGCAGGATTATTTTGAGGTTGTCTCCGTGCAGGTACAAACAGCAGAATACTTGTTGTAAAAATGATGTACTGATATTGCAGCTGGAATAGCCTCATAAAAGTGTCACATGCAACTGTCACATTACATCTGAAAGGATAGTCACTGTAGGGATATAATGGAAGGAAACAATAACTAATGCTGGTGTAGCCCACTCGCACCTGTATCACCACCACTCTGTCATTCTACCTCCACATTACTAAGCCTTGTTGTCTCCTTCCTCATTCACCACCCATTCTCCTGTCTCACCCTCACCTTTCACTTTCCCCCCCACACATATACACACAGACACACACACTTACAAGCATACACACACGAGAAAAGGAAGAGCACTCTGATAAGCAGTCTATTGATTGGACCGAGGGACAGCAGAGAGTGTTTTAAGAGTGTCAGAGAGGCAGAGGAGAAAGCACAACTCTATCAGGGCTACTTGTTCGTACAGACGACAGAGAGGAGGACAGCAAAGAAACACAGCCACACACACAGTCGGATGTACACACACACACACACACACACACACACACACACACACACACACACACACACACACACACACACACACACACACACACACACACACACACACACACACACACACACACACACACACACACACACACACACACACACACACACACACACACACACACACACACACACACTCCTTTAACTTAAAGGCCTGCATGGGATCTCCTGTCCCTCTGCCCATAATGATGCTGTGTTTTCGTATTCTGGTGTGTTAAACTGAGAGCCAACACTATACTGTAGTTTATGCCGCCATACAACAAGCAAAAAAACGTTTATTAAAATGTCTGATTAGATAATCAATTCAGCAGCAAAAGAAAAAGGTCAAATCTAGGCTTAGCTAAACCTGTCCTTGCTAGACAACAAGCTTATCAGAAGGTTTTTCGAAGATGAGTGTTGACATAAAACGTTTCAAAGCGTTTTACCTGACACACAGGCACCCCATTCTCTTCTAGTTCTGTAAATATCTGTACAGCAAACAAAGTCAAAGTAATAAAAAGTGCAATCCACAGCTGCATACAACATTTCAAACGTTTAAATAACCCCAAACTCTAATTTGCTATCCATAACTGTGAAGTGAAAATAATCCAGTGGTTTTAGGAAAGCTTGCCATTGGCACTCTGAGCCTGTCTACCTAATGCCAAACCAAACTAATTAAATATTGTTTATTGTTGCTGCCAGTGAGCCCAAAGAGAAGCACATTAAGGTGAACAACAAAACACATCACATGGGGAGGTCTTTATTTGCAGTGTTAGCCTATTTGCTACCCAAAATCTGCACTTCACCTGTTTCATATCCACATAAAACCATGATTATAAAACAGCTAAAGTATATGTGGGTCAGAAAAGAGCAACATTTCTACAGCATGTCTAAAAATGTCTAATATATACAGCCCTTTTACAATTGACAGTACTTGAACACTATGCGATTGAGTACATTGAACCTTGTTAGAGTGTTTCAGGATAACTCACGAGCTCTTTCATCCTCTCCCTACTTCTGAACATGAACAAGTTGATGGCCTCTACTGCAGCTCTCCATTCTAGGCTTCTTTTTTTTTGCTTCCTTCAATGCCTCCTCATACTTGTTTGCTCATGCTTCCTTTGTTCTTGCACTTCATCTTTCTTTGTCCATCTCCTTTTCCTACCATCCTCTTTGCTTGCTCTCCCTTCCTCTTCATTAGAGCTTTCACATCCTACCCAAGGCTTGCCCCCCCCGTCCCCCCGTCCTTTCCTCACTCTTATAGTCTCGTCTCTCCTCTCACTGACCCCTCTTTCTTATCCTCGCCTTGTTTCTCTTGGTCATTAAGAGTCACACTGTGTCTTCCTGGCAGGAGTGTGAGCTCTGCCAAGGTAAGGCAATTAAAGTGACAACAGATTGGAAGAGACTGGGAAAACAACAGAGTAAATTGAGGAAGGACTTGTAGCAGCGCTGGGCATAACTGCAAACAGAATGTACTAATCGTACGCAAGCGCTCTGTGACTGATTTCGCATTTACTCGTCTCCTTGTTTTGCTGTGAAGCCCGAACCTGAGACCTTGAGGAGGATGCACAATGCAAGTGCATAAACTAATACATTAATTTGAATTGTAACATGCAGAAATATGTTGTAAGACAAAATAGAGAGGTAGCCTGGAAAATAGCCACTTAAGATAGTTTAGAGTTTAGATATATACCATACCAAATACATTGAAAAGTATCACTAAACAAGAATTGAATACGGGAGGTAGTAAAATGTTCCTTTCTAAGGCAGCAATACGACTAGGGGGGATAAGAACTTCTAAATTCATCAAACTAGGAGTAGTATTGCATTTGTTTATCAATCAAGTGCCTATTTATAGCATTTGAGCAAACAACTCCCCACATTCAGCAGGAACAGAGTGGAAGGAGTATTACATTACATTGCATTTAGCTGACGCTTTTATCCAAAGCGACTTACAATAAGTGCATTCGACCAGGAAGATACAAACTTGAAGAAAACAGAATCATATAAGTACATCAGAGGCCTGTACTACGAAGCCGGATTTTCCTAACCTGGATATGTTTGAGTTAGCCGGCTGGCCCAATCCAAAACATACGCGCTCGGGCTAAACTGTACTACGACGCTGGTTATCAAGTGGATCGCTCAAGCCAGCCGTGTCCTATCTAGTTAGGTGCGCGTTCACATGAAAGGGGTGGTATTTGGAGCATTCGACCAATCTCAAACATGGACAAGCGTACTGACAGCGCAGCGTCATACTTCCTGAATGAAAAGTGAACTTTAATATTAGTCAAATATGAAGAAGTTAAACTTTAAACATCCATGACTTAAACACTTTATCCAGGATAAAAGCCACATAGCTGCACCTGCAAGGTGAATACAGCTGGTAAAAGAAAAAGTGTTTGAATGCGTACATTAACAGGTTTATGATATCACTGCCCCGTCCAAGACACGAGTGGATCTGACTTTAATTAGGAGAATTTGACTCGAGTGTTTCGTCAACTTAATGTGTTGCTTAAAATAATACTTCTGCATACAGTATGTGACACTGTGAGTGTTGCCAGATACGGCTCAAGAAGCTGACTCAAATAAGGAAATATATGATACATTTTGATGTGATATGATATGAATGATAATGGGACACATCGCCGTCTGCACTCACAGTGCCGCGGACTGTACTTAATGTTACTCTGATCCGGTTACTTATGTCGTGGCAGATATTTAAGTAAGCTTTCTTAACGCTAATGTTATAATAGTCAGATTGCTCTGAAGATGGGAGGGGATATTCTATTAATTTTCACGTTCACACAGTCAGTTGATTTTTGCCGGCCGTCTTTCCTGCAACGGCAGTTTTTCTGTATTTCCTCTATCCTGTAATATGACTTGATAGCTTTAAACTCCGCACACGGAGCTCTGATTGGTCAGCAGGCGGTGCTTTCACTGAGTTGATCTCTTAGCCTGCAACCTAACCTCCTCCCGAGGAGGTTAGCCGCTCAGCATAAGTTACCATGGAGATCTAGCCCGCTAAAAAGAGAACCAGCGTCGTAGGACCGGAAAGCCTGAGTTTTCCCTGAAGTCAGCCGGCTAAGCGAAAATCCGGCTTCGTAGTACAGGCCTCAGGTTTCATAGAGCCAAAACATTTCAAGTGCTACTCAACTGGCTTTAGATAAGCCAGTCCTTTGTTAGTATATAAGTGCTTTGTTAGAAATTCTTTGTTAGTAATTATATCAGTAAGGATAATACCATTAGAGACATGTTTCTTCTTCTATGTGTTGATTTTAAGTCAAATGTAAGCCCTAGCTTGGTCGAGCCCCTCTGTGATTTGTATCTTTACTCCGAGGATACATAACCTTTTCAAAAGATTTGCTAGAGTGTATACATGTTAAAGGTCAGACTGTTCATGTTGTCAGCAAAGGACACACTTTCTGTCATGTTGATGAACAGAATACACAGCAGAGCGGTTCTTTGTTGATGGACGCATCCATTTTGATGTACTTTGAGTTAAAAAATACATAATATTTTATTTATTAATAGTCTTACTCAATAATGACACTGCCTGATTGCTGGTCAGATGTTTAATCTCAAAATGTCACTGTGTGTTTTAGAACTGAGTAGAGATTGGGCACTGTAATAAGTGCTGCAATGTTTAGCTTTCAGACTGAATGTGTTTGATAGTGGCTCTGCAAAGCTATACATTGCTAAAAGCTCACATCAGCATGTGTATAGCCTTACACTGATATTGCTGGTATTTTTGATGTTGATGATTCACCAGATATAAAGATATATATTGCAATTCCTGGAATATGAATGTTTGCACCAAATGTGTGGTGATGATTAAGAAGAAAACAATAGGACTCATCACCTGGGAGTGGGGACAATGAATGTACACCATTTCATAACCATCCCATTGCTAATTGTTGACTTCATTTAGTCAAGACATTTCAGTTCACAAAAGTGGTAAACAAAAACAGATAATGTTGCTAATGGATAAACAACGATAGGCTGAGAATAAGTGAGCTTTTCTATATCATCATAACCCTCAAACAATGTTTTAGACAAAATGCCTTTTCTTATATTCATACAGGAAAGTACACGCACGCACGCACGCACGCACGCACGCACGCACGCACGCACGCACGCACGCACGCACGCACGCACGCACGCACGCACGCACGCACGCACGCACGCACGCACGCACGCACGCACGCACGCACGCACGCACGCACGCACGCACGCACGCACGCACGCACGCACGCACGCACGCACGCACGCACGCACGCACGCACGCACGCACGCACGCACGCACGCACACACACACACACACACACACACACACACACACACACACACACACACACACACACACACACACACACACACACACACACACACACACACACACACACACACACACACACACACACACACACACACACACACACACACACACACACACCAACATTATGCCCTTCCAAACACTATAATATCCTTAGGAGGCAGGGCAGGTCAGGATGTAACAAATGTTACAGTGAAGCCTGCAGGCTTGTGCTATGGACACATAAATCAACATTGTGTATGTGAACAAATGTGTGTTTGTGCCTTTATGTATTTGTAACTTCTACTGTACGTTTTTTGTGTGAATCCATTCCTGTGTCAACGTGTGTGTGCAGGTGTGTAGGCTACAAGATGTATGCATTCTAGCTGTGTGACGGAGCATATTATGATGAACAGCTCCCCAAAATGACTGATTGTGTCTTGCCACTACCATTAATCACACACCCACTGCCCCCTTCAGCCACCTCCAAATACACACTGAGGCACAAGAAGAAACAAACAGAACTTTAGTAACGCCCCTACCCTCTCCTTCTCACTCCCACACATACACACACATACAATGTTGTTTCTGACCAGCCCTACTGTACAAGCGGGGGTCAAGAGCAGAGTTCAGCTTTGACAGGTGCTCAGATATATGAGAACCTTGATTACAATGAGTATGAGCGTGCCCACTACTGCATAACCATTTGTGTTTTTGAGAGACAAATTATGTTTTGTTGTATTACTCACCAATATGTTTGCCCTTCATGTGGTAGTAGAAAGCGACACAGTATGGGACTCTGCCAGAGCCCTTGGGGCCTCTGACTGAGGTCACATTAAAAAGTGGAGAAAGCAGACGAGCCTTGTCCCCCTCAGTGCGCGGCCGTGATGCTTCAATGTACATGTAGTACCCTGAAACGTACAAGACAACACTCTATTGTCCGAGGATCGAATGAAACAGAACAAAGTAATGTAATTACAATGTTGTACAATTGTGCATTGTGTATTATATACAGCCCTGTCGCTGTAATACTTTGACGAAAATACATAGAACTGAAACTGTAAATACAATCTTTCCCTGGTTTCCTCACCTTCCTTGGTTCCACTGCGGTCAGTCTCGGGTCCGGTATTGGCAGATCGCTTGGGATTCTGGGATAGGTGATTTTGTCTCGTCCAGTCGAAGACATCACTCCGGTCTTGAGAGAAACCACAGATCCTCTGATCCTCAAAACCACACACATGGTCTGGGAGGTGTGTGTGTATGTAGAGAAAAAACAAGAAAAACATTTTTGATCAGTGACATTTAAAGCATTTGACATCACAAACTGCCGATGACATAATCTTCAGGGTTTTTTGCCGACCCACTTTTACCGTAATATTAATGGCAACGATATAGCTATATAATAACCTCTGCAATATGCAATTCAAATGTGAAGATCAGACAGCCAGGCAATTACTGACAAAGTGATAGGCACAATGTGGGAGGAAGGGTGTATAATGTGAAACTTAAAGTGAATTATGCATATTATGCATATTCTGATGCATGACTCCCACATGCAGAACACTTTAAAGGTAACTATGATTAGGCCAGGCCTTGTCAAATGTAGAAAAGCTAGACATAAAAAAAGGAAGATAAATGTGTTAATAGGTTTAACTCTTAAAAGACTTCTGACGAAAAAATAAGGTATGGCTGGAGATATTATGGAGAACAATATATAGACATTGGAACAGAATACTTAGGGTAAAAGCTGTTGATCTACTCTACCTTGGGTTTAAGCTAGAGGTAGTATTCTTTATTTCAAATAGGACATTTGTTAACACTTTGAAGGCTGCTTATAACAAGGGAAAAAAGACCAACATACATTCATTAAAGAAGAGTCTTCCATGCAAAGAGCTACAACTTCTCTAAACGGGGAAAATGGGATCTTGAATTGGTATACATTTTGATATATGTGTGAGATATATAAGACAGATTTTTTTTGCACGTTTAGAACTTTTACTTTTTGATTTAATCACATACAACGAAATGGAGAAAAATATATCATTTTGACAAAAACATGTGCAAAGAGAAATGCCATTATCCGTGATGGTGACGTGTCTTGTTAAGCCAGATAGAAGGGCTTCTCTCTATGTCATCCCCTCCATTAGCCCATCTGGAGTGCTCTGCCATTATCACAGACTCACCAAACAAATGGAAATAGAGGCAAGCGAGTTCAACGACAGCTATCGAAAACCATCCAAGCTGACAGATTCTGTGAGAGCTTCCCAAGCACTCACACAGTCCCCTGCAGATGCATATGGCCTGGGATACCCACGAGGATGGCTTGTTTGTACTTCTTTGTTTCAGTCAGCTAATCTATTACTATTCACACCCAGCCCCACTACATGGGCTCCTTTCAATTTGCACTGTTGTTCTCGCAGTCTGTTCCAATCTGCTGTTGTTTTAATTGCTTCACCCTGGCTGAGCCAACTGCCACTCCTGCCAGAAAAATGTGGGGTGTCTCTTAATGAAGAAAATAGACAAGATGCAATTGACTGTAAAGAGAGAAGGATTGCAAGAGTGAGGATGAGAAGCAGGGAGTGAAGGACTTGCGAGAGGGGAGCTAACAGGGATAAAGGAGGCACACCTTTAAGGTAGTATCGTCAAGTGTGTTTTAAGTATTTTGCTCATTAACCTTTTGCATTAACCGGTCTCATATCATTCTAATGTTACCACACTTAGATGACATATTAAATGTCACTGATCCTTTTATTTATTTCTCTCCACTGTTCCCACACTCTCAAGATTTAATCAAAAACAAGGCAGGGTCATGCCAAACTTTGCCTTTACAAAATGGTGCTGATATTGATTTCACCATTAAAGCTTAATTAGCCAGTAAAATTTGAACGTGCACTCCTGACTTCAACACCCTAACCTCAATCATGACATAACACCAGGCTTAACCTTAAAAAACAGACGATAGCAGTTAAGAGAGAAGTCTCACCTGAAGGTCTTGGGTAGGTGTAGGCTGTTTGGAAACAAAATCAGCTATGCTTAGTCAACATGCTTTGTACATCATCAATCTTTATCTAAAAATGAAAGATAATTACGTAACAAAAATGTTTGGTAGTTTAAAAAAAGACTTACGTTCTGAGTACTGTATGATGCGACTGGCGTACTCCCCGGTGCTGTAGGTGGTGATGGGTGCCAGTCGGACCTCGTAGGACAGAGGGATCCTCAGGTCTGATATGGTGTGGGACAGCAGCACACCCTTCTCTGGCTCCTTGCCCTTGAGGTCTATCTGCTTTGAGAGCACGTTCTGCTTGTTCTAGAGAGGGAACACACACACACGAGCAGGGAAGATGCAGACATTTTAAAATGTATACTTATCAAATATGCAAAAGCTTGCATAAAACAGTACAAAGAAAAGACATTGCACAACAAAAGATGATCACCAGGATATCATTACATTACATGTCATTTGTTAGACGCTTTTATTTGTATCCAAAGCGACTTGTGGACAATCCCCACATGAGCAATTTGGGGTGAAGTGTCTTGCCTAGGGACACAACGACATGCTGACTGCAGTGGGACTTGAACTTGCTATCCCCTGATTTGAAGTCCAGCACACTAATCACTGAGCCACAGCCCCGTATCAGACAGATACACTTTTCTTTTTTCTTGATGTCTTCTTCACTTTGATCTCTACCATGTTATGTTGATATGCTCACACAAAGCTTCAGTTCATCTCCAACTGTTAATATTTTCACAGTGATATTAACTGATCCTAGAATTACAGTGATAATGTACTTTTATATAAACTGAAAAAGTGAAACTCCTGACAGAAATGCCTACTGCTCAGATATGATCAAAGCATTTCTCTAAAAGACTGATCAAAGATATTTGCTTCGTATTGCAGAAGCACCAATCCTTTATTTACACAAAGCTTATTAATCACTATATCGTCATGTTATTTTACTCTTCATATTGCACACGCTTCCTGGCATTTCAATTTACCGTCAATGGAATTTCCCATGGGCATACAGCCAGTTCTGGGCTCACAGCCAGTCAAAATACCGCAAGACTTGGATTGTAGCTATCTTGGACTGCATACTTGTTTCAAACTAATCTGTTATCCAAAACAAAGCTAAACAGCTGTCAAAAGAATTACCACCAAAACAATGCTGGTGTCCTGCAACATACTCTGCTTTAAAAAATGATGTTACTGAGTGATATGCAACACAATGTAATATTGCCCAAAGCTCTGAAAACATAGACTCAATAAATATAACCTGTATCAGTATAATCTAAATAAATATTTATTTCACTTTGCAGCTTAAATCCTAAGCTTTAAAAAAAAGATTGGCCGTTTATTACAGAAACGAATACGGAGATACAAAATGGCTATGATGTAAATGCAGTCCAGTTGTTGTCTCCTCATTTTTTGAAAGTTAAGTTAGGTGTTTTTTTTTTAGTTAGCACCACTTTTAATAGAGTTAACGCTGTGCTATTCCACCCACAGAGAGAAGGATCCATTAGCTGTGTATCTGCCTCTGATCCCAGCTACTTAAAGACCTGACAGTGAGCTCAATCTAATGCATTAGGTCAGCCACTCCAGCATAACACCTTAGTACACCCACAGCATGCCATTATCAGGTAATGCATGCAGCATAAGTGGACGTAGTTGTGTGAGTGTGTGAGTGTGTGTGTGTGTGTGTGTGTGTGTGTGTGTGTGTGTGTGTGTGTGTGTGTGTGTGTGTGTGTGTGTGTGTGTGTGTGGTAAATGTCCACAGGCACAAAGCCCTTCCACCACACGTAAAATTGATATAAAAGATCAACAAGCAAAGTATAAAAAAGTTATATTAACCATTTTTGTCTATTCCATTTTTGTGGGATGATTGTGGAAAGTGTAAATAACAATAATAAAGTGTATTGTTGTTGTGCTGCTTCTATTCAGCTACTCCAGTCCAAATAGGTAACAGTTTGGCAGGTCATACACTGATGCATACCATTACTTTCCCTATAATTGCTTCAGTACTGTATGTTCTGACGTCTCCACGGTGACTTCTGCTTTTTCTCCTGTCCTCTGACACTCAAGTTCAAGTGAGCTATTCCAGTTGGATGTCTACTGCCTACCACAAATTCAAACTCTAGCTAGACTGTGCTAATCATTTCTATTGACAAGACCATGGTGACTCCTGCACAGGCTGCATATAATTTGGTATGAGTCCAATTATTATGCCAGTCCCATATGGCAGCCACAGCCTGGTCTCTGCAAGTTTGTGCTGGGTAACACACTTGGAATCAAATCACCCCTTCCTCACCAGGCCCTATGCCACTAATGGCTGTTAAATCTTCTTTTCACAGTGCCAGTCTGTCTGTTTCCAATTTTCAGTTTTTCCAACTTTTCACCCTCTCTTGCCAGTCATGGAACATCCTTCTCCCACCATGCACAACAGCAGGTCCCTTCAACCGAGGCGATATTATCTTTTCTCCCAGATAAATTTTTTTTCTCTAAACAAATAACAAAAGAATGTTCACTTTTTGAATAAATGTTAATTGTTTCAAAGAACCCTCCAATCTGCTACTCCATTTACATTTTCCTAGCAAATTCTGAGCACAAGACGTTTACATGATGGCTATGACCTTTGCACACAGGACACCTGTTGTAATGCAGTGGGTGTGATCCACATATTTTTGGTTGATTCCGAAATTGCACCCAGCAGATATCTCTCTAGTTAGCAGCATCAGCTACAGGGAATGAATAAAGAGATCTAACTTTTGAGCAGGATTATATAACAGGATACTGCATCTTTCAATAAAGACGGAGTAAAGCAACCTTTTGGTTTAAGAGACCATCACATCAAGGAAAGGTCACAGGTTTCGATTTCTCAAACAACGATGTGTCTTGTTAAAGTTTGTATGACTAAGTTCTGGACCCCTAGCTGCTGAAAGAACGATACAATGTAAATATCTATTTAGCGACCAAATAAATAAATTAGTCAGTCTAATGTAGGATTTGATAACTATGAAGGACACTGGTAAATCCAATCGTGTAAGAAGACATCAGATCATTAAGTTAACCACGATAAAACAATATACTTTATTGTAAGTTAAAGTCCTGCATTAAAAAAGTATAAATAGTGTACTGTATATTGTTGTGTCCCTACGATAGGAAGCACTGGACAATCTGATGGATCACAAATAAATATTTTTCAAACAATACAAACACCAGAGTACTTTTACCCCGTACTTTTCCCGTTTAGTTCCGTTAGTATCCCTTATGTCGCGTTCACACCAAAAAGAGTACTTAGTGCAGGGAACTTTTACCCCCCCAATTCTAGTGCCTGCTAGAGAGGTGGTACCAAAAAAGTACCAAAAAAGTACCAATTTCTATTGGCTGGGCGAATTGCCAACCACGCACCGTAAAACTCTGAAAAGTTTTGTGAAGCCGCCATTGCATTTGTGGCATTAGCATTATTAGCATTAGCATTAGCCCCGCGCACCAACGGAGAGAGAATAACTTATGGCAACACAAAAAAAACATGGGAGCGGTGGAGATGAGGAAGTGTCGGCGTTCTGGCGATTTACTCGGAAGTCCCCAACTCCGGGGACTTCCGGCCGGGGACTTCGGGCGGCAGTATACGCCGTGAAGTTGTTTGCGGCCTGCCAGTAAACCCAAAGCAGAAGAAGACGAAGTGACGTCAGCGGCTCATTTACGTAATCTTCCCTCAGGGAAAAGTACTCCGGTGTGAACGCGATTGGTACTTAGTGCCCTGGGGTACTAAGTGCCGGGGCACTAAGTGCCGGCACAAAGTATAGCAAAGTACTTGGTGTGAAAGCGGCTATTGGAAAACTGTTTTATTTTCTTTTGATGTTTTCTTTTTTTTCAATGTCAAATCTTACTTTGTTTGCAATTTGGAAGAACAGCATTTCAAATAAATGTATTGCAGTAAAAAGCTAAGTATTTCCCTCTGATATCTAATGGACTAGAAGAATAAAGTAACATGAAATGCTATGTCAGGTACAGTATAAGTGTATGACACTACTTTCTACTAGCATCATGCTTTAACACATAATGAAGAAGTGTAGAAGGCCAACTGTATTAAAAGCAAAAGGCTGGAAGGAAGCAGGATGCTACGTACAGAGCTGTAGGAGGTAATCCAAGAAGATAATGACAACTTTATACCTTTTTCTATTGTATTCCACTTCCTAAAGAATCTTTTCCAAAATCTGTGAAATGTGAATGTTCTGAGTGCAGTTTTCATTGACCATGACTTTTGATATTGTTGACTATACTGACTGATGGCTTCCAGCGTACAATATGCATTGTAAGACATTTGCTCAAGTACTTGCTAAGTTAATCGACCATAACTGACTACATCAACTATATACTGTATAGTGTATTTTGCATTGTAGCAGTTATACTGTCAAATGTATTGTGCCCTTTTAACACCCACTTACGCTTACATTCATCCATATAAACATTTACACATTTCTCATACAGCATATGCATAATTATGTGAAATATAGCAGGATAGAAAAGCTACGCTCATGTAATATTCATAGTGTGTGTTAGCACGGAGAGATGAGGTAATAATGCTGAGGAGTCTGAGTTTAGAAATAAGTGGAATGTGGATTTTTTACACACACACACACACACACACACACACACACACACACACACACACACACACACACACACACACACACACACACACACACACACACACACACACACACACACACACACACACACACACACACACACACACACACACACACACACTCTTGTTTTGGTCCTGGTTTAGAATGTGTGATATAGATGATAAGAACAAATAACTAGAGTAAACGCATGCAAAACACACACACACACACACAAAAACACATTCTGTGGATCTGAAAACACACACTGGATCAATAAAGTGCTGAAGTGTGACTCACAGGAATTCAGCTGCACCCACTGCAGTTAAAAGTTAACTCTGTCTCCCTCTCTCTGTCTCCCTCAATAGGTAATCTGACAACATATGTGTGTTTGTGTATTGTATGTGAGTGACAGGGAATGGGTCGTGAAGGGGGAAAAGACATACAACATGTGGAGAAAGGACCACCAGAATGAGACAGTCAGAAGTGACCCAAGTGAGTGAGTGAGTGAGTGATATATTTACAGAGGCAGAGGGGTGGTGATAAATGAATATGGAAGTCCTTATAATTCTCTTGATGTGTGTGGGTGTTTGTGTGTGTGTTCAAGTGCCACATGCTTTCAGAAATGTCAGCCAGACAGTCTTTTCAGCTGTGTCTTTATCAGCTGTCAACAAAGAGACAACA